AAAAAAAAAAAATATTTCAAACAACGTTAATACAAAAGTTTTGATATATTTATATACCTATATATATATGTTTTGCACGAAATGCACATAAAACGTACGTCATATAAACTACATACATATGTATATATATATATATAACATATATGCATGTATACACTCGTAATTTTTTCCAGACGCTTTCCCTTGAGAATTCTACTCTACCGTCATATACTTTTCTTTGTCTATATCTTTTTCTCCTTATCTCCCATTCTCCCTTTTCCCCTTTCCCTTCCCTTCCCTTTCCTTCCCTTCTCTTACTTTCTTCTCTTTGTCTTTTTTCTTCTTATCCTGGCATGTTCTTCGAATAAGGAAAAAAGGAGAGGGCTAGTAACACTCGAGTTCGACGAGTTACGGGATCGACCTATTTTATTCGAAACTCACCCCGTCCCCACCTTTCACATTACACCCCCATTTCCCTTATCATTCTCATACCCTTTTGCATTTCCCATACCTTCTTACAACAGCCATACTCTTTCTTGTACGGTCTCACCCCCTTCCAACCACCTTCAACATTTATTTCTTTCACGAGAAAACATCTTCCAGCCAGTGACCTTGAGTATTTGGGGATAGGCCAATTTGGCTATCTTCCATATTCCAAGCTTGTCCATTTTTTTCTATTTTTATTTCATTTTCATTTCTTTTGAAATGTTTCTAGCCAAAATAAAATTCACAAGGGGATAAATAGGCTGTGGTTTTGTTGTTGTTGTTGTTGAAAAAAAAACGAATGTTTATTGTTAAAAAAAAAAAAAAATAACAACTATATCTAACGTTGCCGAAAGAAATATTTTAACCAATTAGGTGTGGCGATCTGTGCGCAGAGTGTGCGCTTCGGGGGTGTGTGTCGCGATAATCAAGCGATGACGAATATAGTCGTCAAACACGCTTAACTGATTAAATATTTTTTTGTTCATTTCAAATGATCACTTCATGGTGAATTGAAATAAACGTTTTGAAAATATTTGAACAATCGTGATCGCTTATCTTAATTTGTAAAAAAAAAAAAAAAGAGGAAAAAACAAAGAGAAAGAAAAAGAGAAAAGAGAAAAGAGAGAAAGAGAAAGAGAGAAACATGAAGAAAAAAAGAAAGAGAATTTAATCGATATCACAGCTAATTCCTAAGAGATAAGAAAAACTTGAGTGATGAGTGAGTGAGTGAGTGAGTGAGTGAGTGAGTGAGTGAGTGAGTGAGTGAGTGAGTGAGTAAGTGAGTAAGTGAGTGAGTGAGTTAAACAGAAAGAAAAAGAGAAAAGAGAAGAGAGTTTGAAAGGTTCAAACTCTTGATCACCTTTCAATGACATCACTTCTTCTTATCGATATCACGCAATTTATTCGATTTTTAAAACTTCTCTTATCTCACCCCCCTCCCCTTTTTTTCTTTTTAATTTCTTTTTCGTCAACTGCATAAAAATGAAAAGAAAAAAAGAATTGTCTCACTCTCTCTCTCTCTCTCTCTCTCTCACTCATTTTCTCTATTTCATTCTTTTTCCCGTGTTTTATTACTTTCAGACGTGAAATATCACGACGATGAGAAGTTACCAAAGAGAAAGAGAGAGAAAGAGAGAGAAAAATGATAGAGAAAGAGAAAGAGAGAAAGACAATTCGTTTCGTTTCGTTTGATTTTCGAATCCTTTGTGATCGGATCAGCTCGTAACTCAAAGGTTTGAAAAATTCTTTAGATAGAATCAGATTGACTATTTTTTTATTTTTTTTTTTTATTTTTATCTATGCGTATGCGTTACACACGTATACACACATGCTGTGTGTGTGTGTGTGATGAGAGAAGGGATGAAAAAATTTTAATTGGAACAAAGGAAAGTTATCATCTCTCGGATCACTTCTTCACATGATAATAAACGAATCTTCATTATTACCCGATAATAATAATAATAATAGTCATAATAATAATAATAATAATAATGAAGAAGAATTTCTGTTTGTAATAAGTTCGAATGTAATTTTACATATTTCTTTTGTTCATAACAAATCATCTTCAGTCAAAGGAATATTTTCCACTCCCTTTTTTCTTCTTTTTTTATTTTTAATATTACAATCAGAAATATAAAATATATAAAAAAAAAAAAACGTTATGGGGGATGGGAATGGGGGTTGTTGTTATATGTGGAAATTATAAATCGAATGAAAAAAATTACAAAGAGAATTTATGTTTGTTTTAATCATCGATTTGTCGGACAACACAGTCGAGAAGAATTTTTATTAAAGAATTTTTTTTTTTTTTTTTTATAAGAAAACATAAAAAAAAAAAACCATAGACGAGAAAGACACGAAAAAGAGTATGTGTAGAGTAGAGGGTGGGTATTTTGTTTGTTCGTTTGTTTGTTTTTTTAATACTACGATTCGACGTTGAACATCGATGGGGATGTATGTTCGATTTGGATTTGGCTTTTTCCCCTTTGATCGACTTTACAAAAGAAATAGAGAAAAAGAAGAAGAAGAAGAGGAAAAAGAAGAAGCAAAAGTTTGAATTGAAGCATTGAAAGCTTGAACTTGCGAGCGAGTATCCACTCACTTTGATTTTGAAATTCGCTTTACGATGAAATTCAGAAGAACGTAGGAAGGAAGTAACGAAAGAAGTTACAAATGAAAAAAGATATTTTCTAAAGCAAAATCAAAATCGATCTTTGTGATAGGAAAAACACAAGAAATCGAAACATTTTCGATATCATCCTACAAAAAATAAAAAAAAATAAAAATAAAAATAATAAAAGAACAGACATATCTCGTTTATCCAAGAAATTTGATACAAATTTTATTCCAATCTCGTGTCATCATTGATAAAAATAATTAATTATCAAAATAATAATAATATTTAAAATGTTTAATAATAAAATTATTAAAATATACTTTACTATTAATTAAATTATTATTATACAGTAATAAAATTCTACAAATAATTATAAATACTTTTCACATAGATATTCTTTCATAATTATTCTACACAATTAATTATCAAAAATAATATTAATAATAATTATTATTATTATTACTTTGTTAATTTCTCAACAAGCTTTTTTGAAGATTCAGAAGATTGAAATTTTCGGCAAATGTTGTAGAGAAAACATGAAGATACGTAATTCGCAGAATGTTTTTAACAGGAAAAGGAACGATAACTATGCTTCGTGGTTTTATGATTTAGTTGCCTTATGCGGCTACGTTTCATGGTTGCTTATGAGACTTGGCTAGATTGTATCTACTTATACATACATATACATATATATATATGCATTTATTTGCACATACACACATATATATATATTCAAAGTAACCTACATGTATGAAAGATCTACCGTGGTTTTCTCACGTCTCGCGAACGTTTATCAAAGTTATTATGCACCCAGCTTGGGTTTTACTCGTTTAAAACATTAACTACCCGTGCAAGAGGTTCATTTAATTAATCAAAAAAAAAAAAAAAAAAAAAAAAAATATTTCAAACAACGTTAA